AGTCAGAATGTTTCTAATAAAATCTGTATTTCCAGCTTCTCCTGAGAAAGGGGAAGACCAGGCGATGCCTCAGGTGATGCCCCCTGCCCTGGGGCCTCCCTCCCGTCCCTCAGTGCCCACAGCCAGTCCTTCCTGTTGCCTTCCTGGACCTTCCAGGCTCTGGGGCTCATGACCCTGACTGACAATAGTCCAAAGGATGGTCTTAAGAATGACCGTGTGTACATTCAACCTCTTCCTGACAGAATCTCCTCTCTGGAACAAGCGGCTTAAGCAGTCCCCTTGCAAGTAAATCGACTTAGTCCAGCTGAACTGAAGCTAACTACAAGGGGATTTACTGGATTAACAGACAACAGATTTTACTTACTGCGCTCCGCTTTGTCTTTTTTGAACTGATAGTAAATTTCTGTGATACAATTTAACAGGACTTGCAGTTTTTCCACACTGTTTAAGAAAAAAACAAGAACAAAAATAAATAAATGAATCGAGTCAATGTGAAAAGGACATTTACCATCAAGAGCAGCCCCCACCCGCCAAGCCGCCACCTACTTCCGGTCCCTGGGGTGAGTGCCTTCCTGGTGCGCCCACGTGTCGGCCAGCGACCCGCCTGGGGACAAGCGGCTGTCGATGTCCTGCAGGCTGGTTTCTATCGTGCCCTGAGAACTGGAAAGCTAAATAAAACCAATGTGTTCAGAGCCAGATTGCCAGGTCAGAAACGATCATCCCAAGGTCAAGAATGTAGAGTCCAGACCCCATTTCTTTGGGAGACCACGTCAACTCAAAGACAGAGCAATCCGGTCCATCTCTAAAGACGAGATTGTCTCTTAGGTTGGCTTCCACCAAGAGTTACAGCACGATCATAAAACCCCAGGCAAACTAGCACTAAGATACTTGATATACATTCCATACAGTAAAGGTCCTTCTAAAACGTGCAAAATACCCGAAATCTTCTGTCTCCTTATCTGTAGAAAACGGCTAATTTGGCTGATCCTCTGCCTCACAGTGCTGCAAAAACTCAACAGGAAACCCCAAGCAGCCCCAGGTGCACAGCAGAGCTCAGCAAGACTCATGCTCTCTGCTCAGAGGCTGGAGAAGAGGACTTCCTCTTAAAGAGGAGATGCAGAGAAACCCCATCCAGACCTGCAGAGGCTCCTCTTATCTACTACAGACTCGAATGCAACAGGTGTGACACGTACGAGGCAGGACGAAGTTAGGCTTCAAGGACACAGGTGTCCAAGTACGTAAAGGTCCTGACACCCACGACTGACACTACCACTAGCAACAAACAAGGGCGTTCCTGCTACCACACTCTGGGCAGTCAGCACTGGCCGTGTGGCTGGCCCGCACAAGGTGGATTCAGCCTTTTCTAGTTACAGAACTGATTCACTGCCTTGGGGGCCCCCCATTCTTCCTCACTCTTTATTTTAGAAAAGATCTGATGATATTTTCCAGTTTGCACCGATTTCTAAACAAGCCTAAGTACTCTGCATTCAAATGAGCGTGAAGTTACATCCACGGACTTGCTTTCATTGCCACAGCAGCGACACAAAAGCATTATGGATTTCAGAGAGGGAGGGAGGGAAGGGGGGAGGATGAGAGGAGGAGGGGGAGGAGGGGGAAGAGCGGGGGGGAGAGGGAGAGGGACAGAGAGAGAGAGAGAGAAAGAAAGGACAGCATGTATGAGGGGGACAGAGATGGGTATGAGGCACAGTAGACGTGGGAATAACAAAAAGCATTTTATGGAGTTAGGACATGCAAACACTGTAAAGAAATTCCTACAGATGGGAAAAGGCTATCCTTTGTCTAGAGTTAGAAATATCATCTCTCCAGAAAAGCTAATCTTGACAGCAAAAATTGATTATGAGCTTACAATTTTCACCATTTTGTAAATACTTACTCTCAACAACTTGGTGTGTATGTCTGAAATTTCACCTAACTCTGCTGCTTCCAGGTTGATCTTCATCAACTTTTCATATCTGCATGAAAAGTCACAGGAAAAATTGAATAAGAATGATGACTGTATAGATTTTAAAAGGCGTTTTATAAATTATGTTTTTGTCATAATCACTTAAGGATAAGAAATTGATTCAAAATCTATAAGCCAGCAAATTCTAAGAAAACCTTGATGTCTTCCCGAAGAAGCATTTGATATACTACTCATACATAAATTGCAGTTAAGAGCCTTTGCAGATTCAGAGATAAAACAGAAAAGGCAAATTAATTTCAAATAATCTTATGTCAGGAATAGAGTAAAAATACTAGATTTCAGGATGAATGGAGGCCAATAGTAAATACTGATTTATTGTATCTCCTCTACAGTACAAATAGCATATTCTAGAAAGAGCACAGTTTAAAATACTGTTTCAAAAGACCTTCACAGAAAAAAGCGTAAACTAGGAGCTATTCCTAAGATTCTAAAAATACCACCGCAAGGCTGCCTCGAAACCCCTCTTCCTAATTCCTTTGCTGATGACAGACTCTGTATCTTCCTGTCCAGGGCTTCTGCTTGTAGGAAATGAGATGTTCCTCCCCGCCTCCTCCCCCACCGCCTCTTCCTTCGCAAAACCTGGGGGAAGATGCCCTGAGAGATGCTATTCATCTCTCAGAGGCAACTGGCGCCTCTGCCTCTGTGGGAGGCGACCATGAGCCGTAACACTGCCCTGCGTGCCACGCTCGTCACGGACAACCAAACAGATGCCATGAAAAGAGAACAGCACTTAACAGTTCGACCACAACCAGCGAGGACATCATCTACTCACACTTTCACAGTTTTTTCGATGTTCCTGATGCAGAAATCCAATGTGATCACAACTTCTGTCTTCTTGTGAACAGTTTCATTGTAATCATCTCTAACTAATTCACTAAAAAAAAAGATTCCCATTAGTCAATCTAAGGAATTACTTATTTTTTTCTAGCCTATCGCTAACTACATTACAGTTCAAACACACTGTGTAACAACATTCCTGATACAATTAGGAAAGCTAATTCACACTTTTGGGGACACCACTATTAAGAGCATTTCTGTGACCCTTACACGTCATCTTGGGCACTTGTGTTTTCTCAAACCCTGACTACGTACTAGGTTAACAGCTTAGAAGCCCAAGGCATTATGACATTAAGAAACAGACATCTATAATCACACAGAGAAGTCGCAGAGCCTTCCATCTTTCGCCACCAAAACTTCCCTTTACTGCTCACAGATAGACTGCTCATGGGTTACTCCATGACCCAACCACAGGAGGGGCATCCCTTACCCAAAACGCTTGAGACCAGAAGTACTTCAGATTTGAATTTTGAGATATCTGCACAGATACACACTAGCCGAGCAGCCCAATTCAAAATTCACAGTGCGAAATGCTCCAGTACTTCCCTTGCACGAGACCTCTGAGCACCATGTTGGTACTCACAGAGTTTAGGATTATGGGGCACTTGGGATCAGAGGTGCTTAACCCACAGTGTGATCTCTGAAGAAGGATGACCTAGCAAATAATATAACTGAAGGGCTATGGTCTACATCAGGGATCACAGACCAAGGCCTAAGGCCTGTTTCTGTAGGGCCTGTGATTTAATGTTACATTTTTAAAGACTGCTTAAAAAAAGAGAGAAAAAAGACCATATGTGGCCCATGAAGGCTAAAACATTACAATGACCCTTTAAAGAAAACACCTCCCAAGAGTGGTCTACACTAAAACTATTTTTCCACGACCTACTAAACTATAAACTATTAAATAAAAAGAATAAAAACTCCATGGATCAGTGACTGGGGTAGATAAGAGCAAGAAAAACCAGAATCTCCTAGCATACTTAGGTTTTTCCAGAAACTGGTAAAACTTAGAGGCTTCTTAGTGGAAACAGAACACAGGCCTGGAAACAGGATGTGTGAACACACTGGAAAACGTTACCGGTATGACACAGCTTCACACGAAGATCACAGAAAAAAGCCCAAAAAGGTAAGAATAATGAGATGCTTCGTGGCCATTTTCAGGAAGGGACTGCCAAAAAGCCCAACGCCCCAGGCCCTGTGTGCAGTGAGGTGGGCCAGAAAAGACCTCCCAGTACAGGGCAGCCATGGCTATCACCGCGTGTACAAGACACACAGGTCTAGGAGCATAATTCTCAGAAAAGAGAAGGTTTCAAATGGAAAGATAACATCTATAAGTCATGAAATGTGAAAAGTAAAAATCACATCTGTCTTTCATTTCTGAGAGTCACTTTCAGGAAGAGACTTCCTAACCAGATGATCAAGACCCTGATCCAGAATAACCATCACAAGTGATCTAGTTGAAACATTAGTTTGTAAGTGCTTCCTGGTGTGTACGCTCTCACTTCACGGTTCCGTCTACATCAAGAATCTGGAAGGCCGGGCTTGGTGGCTCTGTCTGTAATCCCAGCACTTTGGGAGGCCGAGGTGAGTGGACTGCCTGCGCCCACGGGTTCGAGACCCGCCTGGGCAACTTGGTGAGACGTCATCTCTACAAAAAATTAGCCGGGCATGGTAGCGCGCACCTGTAGTTACAACTACTTGGAAGGCTGAGGCGGAAGGATCACTGGAGCCCGGCAGGTCGAGCCTGCGGTGGCTGGGAGCGGCCGCTGCACTCCAGTCTGGGCGACAGAGTGAGACTCCAACTCAAAAAAAAAAAAAGAATCTGGAAGGGGCAAGTCTACAGAGACAGAGCATCCGTGGTGGCCAGGGCGGGGCGGTTTGTGGGGAGATGGGAAGTGAATGCCGGTGGGTGCAAGTCACGTCCTGGGGTGATGAAAATGCTCTAAGATCAGGGGCTGTACAGCTCTGTGGACAGACGGAACACCACTGACCTATAATTTACATGGGTGCATTACATCTCTAGGATGTGAATTATATCTCAGTACTGTGTGAAAAAAAGAGTGGCTTCATTTTGGAAAATGGCAGGAAATGGAGGAAGATTCTGAGGACTCAACGATGGTACTGGGGTTCAACAAGCCAAAGCCTTCCAGAGAGTGAAATGACAACCAAGTCAAGGTCCTTGGAAAAAAAATTCATTTGTTTATTACATGGTAGGAACAGTATGGTATAAGTTTTAAAAATCAGATACTATCTGTCCTGTTTCACAAGCTTATTGTAGGATTCAAATGAAAAAACAGTTGCTAAATGTTCTGTGAACTAAATGTGGAACAGATGTACTGAAATAAAAATCAAGCATGGCTGGGCATGGTGACTCATGCCTATAATCCCAGCTACTTGGGAGGCCGAGGTGGGAGGACTGCTTGAGCCCAGAGTTCAAAGCTGTGGTGAGCTACTGCACCACTGCACTCCAGCCTGGGCAACAGAATGAAACCCTGTTTCTTTTTTTTTTCTTTGATTCAGAGCCTCACTCCATCACCCAAGGCTGGAGTGCGTTAGTGCGATCATAGCTCATTGCAGCCTTGACCTCCCAGGCTAAGGCAATCCTTCCATCTCAGTCTCCTGAGTAGATGGGACTATAGGCATGCACCACTATGCCCAGATAATTTTTTGATTTACTGTAGAGATGAGGTCTCACCGAGTTGCCCAGGTTGGTCACCATACCCTCTCTCTTAAAAAATCCAAAAGCAAACAAGAAAAGCAAGCACCTGACCCTAACTACCCTGGAAAGGTAAAACAGCATAGAGGGAGTGGTTTGCCACGTTTCCAGTGAGTTCCACATGAAGATCAGTTTTACATTTCAGCCTTACTCACACCAGCCATCGTATCCCCTTGCGCACCAGCTCCTGGTAAAGCAGCAAGCTGCTGGCGATTCTGCAGGCGTAACACACAACCCCCGTTACTGCCTAAGGAAACAATTCAAAATGTCAGTATCGGATACTAACTGTGGTACAAGGTAAGAACGATATTTCCAGCTTAAACACTTCTATCAGGCTAATTAAAAGCATAATGCAGCGCCAATCCCTAAAAGCTAATAGCAGACAAAACTGTAACAAATACTCCAGCTTCAACATTATCTAAACATGCTCTGTCTCCATGGAGGCAACCTTCTTACGATGAGTTCAAGAAAGGATGAAAAGGAAGAAAGAATACAAAACAATTTGGAATGAATTCCAATGTATATGCATGACTTCCTAAATCATACAGGCATATTAAAAGACAACACATTTTGTTGCTCCATGGTAAAAATTTGAATCAGGTGTTCACACAGTACTTTAAGTAAACACTGACCTTAGCCATGCTGGCATCCCCATCTAAGTCATAACGTGGGTGGACTTTAGGGAGGGAAACTGAAATACAAAGAGAAATACTTAAGATGAGAAAGAAAATCATGTAATTACATTAACCTTTACATACAGCAAACAGAACATCTAAATTAAACACTGATGACAAAACCTTTAATGTACTTTTCCTGGTTAAAAAAAGCTACTTGAAACAATAATGCTCATTCCCTAACAAATTACCTCTGATATTTCTAAGGAGTTTCACATTTCCCTTAAGTATATTCCAATGCAATGAGCTCAATGTTTAATTTTAAAATCTCAACCAAACCCCAAAGTTCCAAATAGGCATGTACAAATTTGAGTAATTCATTTTTTCCTGCCAGTAGAATGAATAATTTAAGAGATTCCAAAAGTGCAGCTCTGCCTCTTCTTGGATGCTAGAGCCTGGCACACGTCCTAGACACACTGGACACAATACGGATTTGCTCAAATTTGTGATGCAAAAGGTTATTTTGAGTGTTTGCAAAACACTTAAAGCAGAGTTATAGTAAACCCTATGTAACAAACTAGTTTACCACTCTATAACACTAAATATTTGAAGTCAAGATATGTCTATAAGGCTTTCAATTTTACAGCCACTCGCTTTCACATAATTCACAGAATTTTAATATCTATGAGCATTCTACATAAACAACATCATCTGCTTTAAGAAGATGACAATCATTTCTACAATGAGCTGGGTTTTTTTTTGAGTCGGAGTGTCACTCGGTCGCCCAGACTGGAGTGCAGTGGCCGCTCCTGGCCACCGCAGCCTCGACCTGCTGGGCTCCGGCGATCCTTCCGCCTCAGCCTTCCGAGTAGCTGGAACTACAGGCGCGCGCTACCACGCCCAGCTAATTTTTTTATTTATTGTAGAGATGAGGTCTCGCCAATTTGCCCTACAATGAGCTTTTTTTATAATGGCTAGTAAAAACAACAAGGAAAAGGCCACGCACTCTTTTCGTAGACCAGACCTATGGTGTTCAGGGGTTCCCGGCTGACGATGAAGATGGGGTTCTCCTCAGTAGTCTTAGGGAAGTGCTGCGCCAGCCTCCCGGGTTCCAAGACCAAGCGGCGACCTTCGTAGACAAGTTCTTGATTTGAAGAGACAATTTTGGTTTGTTTATACACCAGCTCATGAAACACAGTAGCACTGTGTGAGGAAAATTAAGGACAACGTAACTGAGGATAAAATGACAGGTACGATGTTTCTGGAACACTGACTACAACAACATCCACTTCTAGCTCACATTTGCAAGACCATGGCCAGTCCATATAAATGCTGTTTGGCTAATGTGGATACGACGAAGTCCACCAGACTGGCAATTCCACACGACCCAGTTGTCCACAGTTGTGAAGTTTAAAGTGTTTTTGTTTGGATACCTGTGTAGTCTCCAGGATTCTTAGCGTTTAGAAATGGGAGCCAATACAGCAGAGAGGGCGATAGCACGGACTTGCGCCATACACCGGAGTTCACCCCAGCCCTTTGCACCTGGCGACGAGACCGGCAATAGCTTGGTGCTCTGTGCTCATCTTTCTCATCACTAGGGTGGGGATTTAATGGTGTGCACCCCACAGAACTGCTGTGCGGACCAAAGGGTTTGGCTGTGTGAGAACCGAGGTCAGTACCATGGGACCACGTTTGCTGGGTGAATTAACAAAGCCATGTAATTCCAAGACAATGTTTTGTGGAAGAGACAGATTCCCCTTGAACAGGTTCATAAAAAACAATGTTTTGGCAGCAGCGCTGTGACTCAGCTCCACCAGCCTCTGTTATGAACTGGCTCAGGCTTGGGTAAACTTCTTACGCTCAAGCATACTTTCAGAATGAGAACTGTGGCTAACTCCAAACCACAATGTGTGTCTATTCAGCTCTTACATACCGAAATAAAGACAGACAGGACATTGCAATCTCGTGTTATGTCAGTATTACTGCATTGCTTAGATTCATAATGTTATACTTATGTTTATACATTAATATCTAAAACAATATTTTATCTAATTGATTGTATTCCTTAATTACCAGCAAAAGTCCCTTTTACTAATTTTTATGAAGTATCAAAACTGCTATTGAATTTTGTCAAAACAGAAATGAAGGCACATAGAATGGTTGTAGTGTTTCCCCCTTCACTCTACAAAACATTTTATTTGGAGGTCACTGTAGATGCCCATGCAGCTGGAAGAAATAACTCCCATCATACCTCACTCATATTAAGGGTAAAATATCAACATGTCAACACTGACACACTCTACTCCGATTTCCCCAGTTGCATATACGTGTGTGTGTGCGCGCGCGTGCGCGCGTGCACGCGCGCACATACAGCCATGCATCATTTAGCAATGGGAGACATTCTGAGAGATGCATCGTAAGGTGACTTCATCCCTGTGGGGCTGTCTTAGAGTGTCCTCACACAGCCCTGTGTGGCCAGCCTGCTGTACACCTAGGTTTTGTGACAAGCCTCCTGCTCCTGGGCTAAACACGTGCATAGCACATTACTGCACTGAACACTGTAGGCAGCTTAACACAATGCTAAAGTGTCCATGAAGCTAAATGGAGCGTAACACAGAAAAGTCACAGTACATAAATGGTCTTATCATCTTATGGGACCAGTTTCGCAGACGTAGTCCATTGTTGACCAAAACGCCATCACGAGGTATGTGATTGTTCTTAGTTTTATGCAGTTTTATCACATGGGTAGTTTCTTAAGATCACATGAGTATATTTTTGTTTCCATAAAACAAACATTAATAATTTCCCCAGTACCGAGTGCTTTATACCACATACGCAAATAATAACTACACTAACTGTATTTAAGATTTAGGTTTTAATATTTATTTTTGAATTGGAGTCTCACTCTTTCGCCCAGGTCGGAGTGCAGTGGCATGCACACTCACGGCCACCCCAGTGTCCACCTGCTGGGCTCCGGCAATCCTTCCGCCTCAGCCTTCCAAGTAACTGGAACTACAGGTGTGCGCTACCACGCCCGGCTAGTTATTGATTTGTTGTAGAGACGCGGTCTTGCCAAGTTGCCCGGGTGGGTCTCAAACCCGCAGGCTCAGACAATCCTCTCGCCTCGGCCTCCCAAAGTGCTGGGATTACAGGCTGCGCCAAGCAAGCCCAGCCAAGCTTTAATATTTTTTAAATGACAGAAGAGTACCCTTCATAAAATCTAGCTCAGTTATTACAGATGTCATTTGTGATTATGTAATTTGAAAGAAGGCACAAAATAAAAGCAGTCCTGTAAAACTTGCAGTTTAAGAACAAGTTAATTTACCTACAAACTTTAGAAAACCGGAAACTCAATCTTTTTACTCCAGAGGTAAGTGGAAGGGCACTGTTTTAAAAGTGGGCAGCAGACACCTCTGGGGAAAGTGAGGCACCTCTCTACTGCTCTCCTAACTTGGGAAAATACCTCCTACGGAACACGGTATGTGCCTGAGGAAGCAAACACCCAAAGGTACTTACGTATTGTAACTGTGGATATAAATCTTATGAGCTGTCATTTGTTGTAGTGAAAAAACATGAATTATCATCCGGTGAAGTATATCACTAGTTTCTGCAAAAAACTGGTCAAAACCCCAACATTTCTCTTGATCTGCTTCCAGGATGTTTGCCAGAACAGGGGTCAGCAGAACTTGAAGGCCCCTAGAGCAGGATCGAGAAGTTAGTTGAAGAGTGAACACGTCACAATTTGTCTAGGCACAAAATCATAATATTTACCACCAGATCAAAGGAACTGCCATTATTATTAGATTAATTTCCAGAAAGCTAGGTGACCTTCATTCACTGTCACTTGTCAGTAAACCAGGGATTATAGACTTTGGTGTTTTTTTTTTTTTTTTAGAGTCAGGGCTTCACTTTGTCACCCAGGCTGGTGTGCAGTAGTGCAATAACTCACTGCAGCCTCAAATGCCTGGGCTCAGGTGATCCTTCTGCCTCAGCCTCCTGAGTAGCTGCAACTACAGGTGTGTGCCACTGTGCCCAGTTCCATGACATTTTTGGTGCTTGTTTCCACTGCTGATCTGCAGTACCAAAAATCTTTACTATTTAAAGTAAAATTGTTTTTTGGCACCTGAGCAACTTTTACCAAACAATTCATAACTTGGTATGCTAAAGACTGATTAGGTCAGGTCTGTTACCCTCCAGAAATACGCTAGAGTCAGATAATCAGATATTTCTGACTCTGAGTTTTGGCAATGTAATCATAAACCAGCAAGGATTCGTTTCCTGGCCCTTTACATGTTATCAGTTTTGCCTGGGATCCTCAAAATGAGTATTTTCTAAATAAAAATGTAATACAAATCACTGTTACAATACTCCATTCCATTCTCCAACAAAATAAATTTCTCTTAGCAATCCAGCTGCATGACACAAGTGTATTTTAGAAACTGTTCTTTAGACAATATGAAATGCTTTTGAAAATGGTTTTAGCAGTGGAACTCTTGGTTTAAATAAATTTTCACAGAATTCAATATGTAAAACAGAGGGTTCTACTGCTTGTTTTAAGTATGTATATGATAAAGGTCATACACAAAGCACCCACAACTCATCACAGGTGCCAAGCCAGCACCCCACAGCCTGTGTCCACTTGTGGTTTCTCTAACTACCACACTTGGGAAAAACCAGAAGTTAATTCAGGAATCACAAATTCTGAATACTGGTCTTCGTTTTATTTCCAGAGTGAAACCTAAAATAATTTACTTACTACTTTAAATTTATTTTATTGTAATTCTTTCCTTGTGATAGTCTGTCTGCTAAATTTAAAAAGACCCATATGAACATCTGAAATGCTGGAAAAAGTATGAGAAAATGATTATTTTTCCCCTTCTGAATAGCTTGATTATTTTATTTTTGAGACGGAGTCTCACTCTGTCGCCCAGACTGGAGTACAGTGGCACGCTCGTGGCCACTGCAGTCTCGACCTGCTGGGCTCAGGTGATCCTTCCGCCTCAGCCTCCCAAGTAGCTGGAACTACCAGTGCAAGCCACCATGCCTGGCTAATCTTTTGATTTATTGTAGAGACCAGGTCTCGCCAGGTTGCCCAGGCTGTTCTCGAACCCCTGGGCTGAGAAAATCCTCTCGCCTCGGCCACCCAGAGTGCTGGGATGACAGGTGTGAGCCACTGCACACAGCCTAGCTCGACTATTTTTAAAAGGAAGACAACTGGTCGGGCTCAGTGGCTCAGCCTGTAATCCCAGCACTTTGGGAGGCTGAGGTGAGTGGATGGCCTGAGCCCGCGGGTTTGAGACCTGCCTGGGCAACTTGGCGAGACCTCATCTCTACAATAAATCAAAAATTAGCCGGGCATGGTAGCGCGCACCTGTAGTTCCAGCTACTTGGAAGGCTGAGGCGGAAGGATCGCTGGAGCCCAGCAGGTTGAGGCTGCGGTGGCCGTGAGTGGCCACTGCACTACAGTCTGGGTGACAGAGTGAGACTCCAACTCAAAAAAATAAAAAATAAAAAAATAAAAATGAAGGCAACATGAACCTCCTTTGGCTGTTTGCTTTTCACAGCTTCAGCTGAGAATTCCCTCCTATCCACACTGCCATCTGTGGCCCACCAACATGGAGCCATTAGAAAGGTATCAGGTCCTGAGCAGGGTCCTCATGCTGGGAAGAATTCCAAGACCAGTAGTGATGTAGTGATCTCAAACATATATGCCTTGTGTCCCAAGAAACATCTGGGGAAATTACAGCACTCAGAATACGTCTCTCCATCACCACAAAGACACACGCCACACATCATAGTGTAGGCTTTCACAACTTCTAATGAAAATAAAAGCCAACTACACTTGAGTATCTGTGATTTCAGGCAACAAAGACTTCAAACCCCACAGTGCAAAACGCGAGACTCGGGTGCACGACACTCACCGGGAAAGACTACAAGAAACAGGCATGTCCCCGCTCCAGTCGATCGGGCCATTTTCTGCTTTCTGCACTCCAGATATGGCACCAGAAGGCTTTCCAGTAATTATTTTATACCTTGGGGAAAGTGAAAGCAGAATAAGTAGGCAGTCCCTCTCTGCATGGCGCACGAGTGGGCTTCGCTGAAGCACTTCTCCAATCGCACCTATCGTTATAGGCTGGCTGACACCTTGTGACTGACATTCACAGGATCCACAGAACAATCAAGACACTTGAATGGGACCGACCGTGGCAGAACAGTGGGTTTTACAGTGGCTGTTTTACATGAGCCACAGCAGAGAGCCTCAGAACAGCACCTTGATGTTCACAACAAAAACGTTAATTTTTTCATCGGAAAATCGAGCAAACACAAAATGAGTTATGTCACAGAACGTCTCTGGACCATGAAAAGAAGCACCTAATCCAGTTTGCCCGTATTGTCCAAAGGCACAACTGGACTAAATGACTTCTGCAGAAGACTTTTAAAAACTGCTGGCACAGTGGCTCATGCCTGTAATCCCAGCACTTTGGGAGGCTGAGACAGGAGGACTGCCTGAGCCCAGGAATTCGAGATCAGCCTGGGCAACATAGAGAGACCTCATCTCTAAAATACATCAAAAAAACATTAGCTGGGCATGGTGGCGTACGCCTGGAAGACTGAGGCAGAGGGATAACCTGAGCTCAGCAGGTGGAGGCTGTGGTGGCTGTGATCATGCCACTGTACTCCAGCCCTGAGGACAGCGAGACTTTGACTGAAAACAAACAAACAAACAAAACATATATAGAGCACAGTGTCAGAAATATTCTTTGCATATTGAAAAAATATGTACCCATATAGGAATAGGTGTATGTGCCAATTTTTTCTTTTTTTCTTTTTTAACTTTTTTTTGTGTGTGTGTCAGGGTCTCACTCTGTCACCCAGGCTGGAAAGCAGTGATAGGATCCCAGTTCAATGCAGCCTCTATCTTCTGGGCTCAGGCAATCCTTCAGCCTCAGTTAACTAAGCACCTGGGACTACAGGTGTGCACTACCACACCTGGCTAGTTTTTTGATTTTTTGTAGAGATGAGTTCTCACGATGTTGCCCAGGCTGATCTCGAACTCCTGGCCTCAGGCAATCCTCCTGCTTCAGCCTCCCAAAGTGTTGTGAGCCACTGTGCCCAGCCGTATGTTCCAAAATTATAAACCAAATATAATCTGATTCCTGATGAAGGTGATAAAAATAAAGATGAACTGAAGCTAAAAATGAAGGGGGAAGCAAGAGAGTGCTATCCAGGACGGCACCCTTGTGCGGGGTCAGCCCTTTCCTGCTGAAACAGAACCTAGGAAGGGGAGAGACGGAGTACTCCAAGCCTTCTGGGATACTCACACCCCCACGAAGGCGTGAAACGCCACATGGCAGAGTCTGACGTGAGCTCAGAGGTATTCTTCTGGCAGATTTTGTTTGTTTAAAGTCTAAATAAATGCAGTTGGAGCCAATGAGCACATGCACATTTTAAAAAGTAGAGCAAACCAGCACAGCTGATTCCAACCATCTGCTGCCTCCTCAGCTGAGGCTGCCAGGATTTCTCCCTTAAGAGATTTTTCAGAGAAGGAGAAATTAATGTGAAAAATAAGGTGTGTTCATGTGAGAAGGCTCTGAGGAGGAAGTGGAGACAGATGAGGTCAGTGCACAAGGGGGAGAACAGAACGGACGGCAAGATCCTTAAGGGAATGCCTCCAAATTCTTAAAGAGTTTAGCAAATTTTGATGAGAATCACGTATAATCACATTCATAACCACTGCCATCATGGGAAGCGAATGCATCCTGGTCAGGAAAGCAAGATGCTGTTACTCCGATGGCCTCAAGCACCCCTGTACGCTCTTAGCATTAGTGTTCGTGAAATGCCACCTTTCTGTGCAGATAAAGTAACGATTCTTCTAAAGGAGGTCTGCATGCGCAGGGGGTCGGACAGAACCACCAGGTGTCCTAGCTCCAGGGAACAGGTGGCTTCTGCCCAGGAGGATGAGCACCGTCCCCGCTGGGAGGAACGGACACCCACACTTCCACAGAAGCTGCTGTCCCATCCGAGTCTGCTCTCCTTCTCCCACTGGCAGAAGGAAAAGCAGGCGGCCCCCTCTGATTTCGGAGCTAGAGAAGCAACTGCGCTTCTACAGCAGTGAGGGCTGCTTCAAGTCATGTGTGAAGGTCCATCGTGTCAAGGTCCAACCTGCCAAGGCTTGAGAAACACGGGAGGCCCTGAATGCCGGCTGCAGAGGGATACCATCAGTGAGCTGCTGTCCCAAACTGTTCACTAAACTCGGCACTCTTCACCTCATGGTTTTACGTGTATATGGGCTGGCTGTTTCCCACTAAGCAAGATCATTCATTAATTTATTTAAAATAAAAAGAAGTGTGGTCAATGAATGATTTTGTTGTTGTTATTGTTATTTTTTTTGAGTTGGAGTCTCACTCTGTCATCCAGACTGGAGTGCAGTAGCCGCTCCCGGCCACTGCAGCCTCGACCTGCTGGGCTCTGGCGATCCTTCCGCTTCAGCCTTCCAAGTAGCTGGAACTACAGGTGCGCGCTACCAGGCCCGGCTAATTTTTGATTTATTGTAGAGATGAGGCCTTGCCAAGCTGCCCAGGCGGGTCTCGAACCCGCGGGCTCAGGCCATCCACTCACCTCAGCCTCCCAAAGTGCTAGGATTCAAGGCTGAGCCACTGAGCCCGGCCAATGTATGATTTTTATAATAAATTTCACATCTAGAAATGTGTCTCTCTTTTCCTTGGTTCATAGTAAGTGATTTTTCTACATAGTAATTATTTCCTAATAAGCACAGCAGTACATATGTGTACACCGTACTAGTAAAATAGTCTCTTGTCCAAATCTATAACACCAGAAAAAAGTTACATCATTGCCAAAAATGTTAATTTTTTAAAATTGAGGTTTCATTCTGTCATTCATGCTGGAGTACAATGGCTCGATCATGGCTCACAGCAGCCTTGACCTCCTGTGGTGAGCCATCCCTCAGCCTTGATCCTTCCTCCTCGGCCTCCCAAGTAGCTGGGACTACAGCTGTGCACCATGCACAGATGATTTTTTTGTAGAGGTGAGGTCTCACTATGTTGCCTAGGCTGGTCTCGAACTCCTGGGATCCTCCTGCCTCAGCACCCCAAAATGCTGGGACTATAGGCGTGAACCATCACCATGCCCTGTCCAAAATGTTACTTTTAAAATGGCAAAAGAAATCAGATCAGTTCAGGGTAAGACTTAAATTTCTCTGAGCTCTGAAAATGGTTCTAGTAATCTACAGAATTGTTTTTCTTTTTTTTCAGTTGTATGGAGAAAAAGTGCTGACAGGCACACAGAGAGAGATTAAGTAAACAGTATGCAGAAATAAAATCCAGAAAGAAGTGTATTTTTAGTGATGGACCAAAGATTGGATACCATTTATATTCTGTATGCAAGACATTTAAACACAAAATGGAAAACTATGTCTCTGCGTTTATAAGGCTGCATTCCTATTAAAAACCAGGTAGTTTAGAGCCTGAAATGACTGCCGGGCCAGTTTCCATTAGTGTACACGTCTACCATGTGATACCACAAAATAAGATAGAGACACATTTGAAAGTCACTCTCAGCTTGGCTGGAGAAAGTACTTACATCACCTCTTTATTCCGGCGCGGACCTTCAAATGGCCTGAAAGGCAGCGAGCCGGTGGCCGCGTGGTAGAACGTCACCCCGATGCTCCAGAGATCCACTGTGGCTCCGTACTTCTTCTGATGGTCCTTCCTCAGCACCGCTCTCTCATACATGTCAGGATGCTGAGGTTAAAAAGACGAAAGACTGTGACCCTGTGGCCTGCTGAAACACACGCAGAGCCAGTGGGCACGCAACGCTGCTGAGGAGGTCTCCAGGGCTTCCCTGACACTTTCACTCCCCCAGCCTGGAGGACGGCTTCCGTCTTCCCTCTCAAATCTCCACCTCCCTGGCCCTCATTTGATGGCCTTACCACAGACTTTGAAAAGGTAAGAAAGCGATCTGGTCAACTCTCCTCTGCACCTTCAGCCAACACCTCCCAGGGCGTCTGTGCCATTTCTGGGCCCACCTTCCAGGTCCTACAAGGGCTAGCTTCCCGTCTATGCGTGGACCCATCACGGCGTCTCACCGGTTCCAGAAATCAGTTCTTGCAATTAGCCGCTTACTCGATGCATCCATTTTTTTCTGTGTCCAGGACCATTTCTTTCTGCTTATGACCCATGCTGTAATTATCTCCCACTTGAAACAACCCTGAACTGGCCCCAACCTCTTTCAGCAACCACCCAGCTCTCTGCCCCCACCACAGCAAAACTTCTCAAGAAGGCCCGAGAACTGTCCAGGCGTGTGCCTGCCCTACTTCCTGGTCTCCTGCGTGGCCTCTTGCCTTGAACATCATCTACCTGGTTTAACGTCCAACTCTCTCGGCTCTCAGCCCCAGATCCTACATCCAACTGTCCTCTGAATGTCTCAAAGGCACTTCAAACGCAATAATCCACAGAGACTCTCGTTCTCCCTCGTCAAACTCCGAATCCTCACGTAAACAGCGTCACCAACCCTCCCCAGCTGCCCACACCCGAAGCCTATCAGCCTTGACCTCGCTGCCTCATCCCTGAGGTACAATGCATCAAGGCAAGGCAGGTGGGCTCTAAAATGAAAGTTGAACTCTCTAGGACCAATTCAGAGGATTGGCCCAGCGGAGTTCACTGGGGAGCCAGTGACCCAGATATACAGCCGGGCTGCTGTTAAACATAGGAGATGCCACACCAGAGTCACTGAAGACAGGTGGATCCTCTGACAGTAGACATTTCTCTCTGCAGAGAAGACCCAGGGGCACACACACTTTGCCTCCTTTACAGACTTTGTGTATGGCAGCTTGAAGACTCTTGGAAGAGGAAGCTTCGAGAAAGCACCACAGACCAGTCACCACCTGAGTGATCTCAAGCCAAAACAATCCCTGATGACAGAGGGATCTGGCCACGACCTAGGGGGCTGGCAGCCAGTGCAGGCCACGCGCTGGAAGGGGCTTCTAAATGACACGGCCTATGACTTTGACCCCCAAACGTTCACAAAAAACTCTGGATTTGGGGGGGATGGAAGAAAGACTCTTTGGGGAAATATATTTTAACAAGAAATTAAAAGTGGAGGTGAGCGGGGCAAGACAGGGGCTTGGAAGCGAATGGGGTCTGTGTGGCCTGCTGATCCAGTGGCACGACACGCAAAGGGGATGCTGTCCAGAGGCAACAGCCACACCCCTGGCCAGCTGCTGGCACTCAGCGCATCAACGGGGCTGAGAACAGGCCGTGAGCACCTGGCCATGCCTAGTGTCCTCTGGAACCTGGGGAAGAGGAGATGCAGCAGTTCTGGGAGGAGGCACAGGGGGACTTCACAAGGCGCAATGGCACCTGCCTAAATGGGCGGCTGGACGCTGCTCTGGGGTGAGTGGCTGGCGTGGCCTTACCCGCTCATGCTGGTGTAGGGCTGGCACTGGGGGCCCGGCTGCTGCGCCTGGACAGCAGCAGAGGGATTAAGCACTCCGAGAGCTTCGGGGTTACATGACGGAGACGACACCCATTGCAGCAAAAATGGCAGAGGGAGAACGCTGCTGTATTTTGACTTTAACACAGAAGCAAGGGGTTCTATCATGTGGCTTGGGAGCTCCTGGGAACTTCAAAATGAGACACGTTTCGCTTCAACTGGAACGTTTCTATACTGCTGGTGTTGAGATGATTCTTTATCACATCTGATAACTTCCGGTCACTGCACTTGAAATCAGGGCTAAGCATACTCCGAAATGGAAAATGAGCAAACTCTGGCCTGGAGTACAGCACAGACTTGGAGTCAGTTAATTTACCCTTTTGCTTTGCCCAGTTCAAGAGTCTATTAGAAGCAAGAGCTAAACCGTGGTCCCAGGAGTTTACAGGGTACTGGGGAGCCACCCCTCGAAGGTCAACACCGGACGACCATGGGTCTGCAACGGTTCTTATGGTAACGGGGCCAGGCCACTGACACTCCGTGGCAGAGATCGGAGACTGAGGGGAACCCTGCAGGGCAGTGACTGCTCTGAAGAATGACTTCTGAAGGTCCTGCCAGATACGTGCACAGGTGAAACACTTATTTCTAACTCCATTTTATATATAACCAAGTATTTCTGTACAGTTCTTCTGAGAATGTAACTATTTCTAAATTACTTTGTTTGGTTAGAAACTTTACTGAGGACTGCTGCCGGGCTTGCTGGCCCACGCCTATCATCCCAGCACTTTGGAAGGCGGAGGTGAGAGGAATACCTGAGCTCAGGGGTTTGAGACCAGCCTGGGTATCTGGCAAGACCTCGTCTCTACAATAAATCAAAAAAATTAGCCAGGTGTGGTGGCACGCACTGTGGTTCCAGCTACTTGGAAGGCTGAGGCAGAAGGATTGCCAGAGCCCAGCAGGTTAAGGCTGCAGGGACCATGAGTGTGCCACTGCACTCCAGCCTAGGCAACAGAGTGAGACTCCAACTCAAAAACAAAACAAGAAAACAAATTACTCACTACGCTGGGAAAACATGGAATGACAACACCCCCGTAACGTATGACTCACAAATCCAAGTCACCTTGGCCTTTGCATGCAAAAGCACCATTACATATCTGAGCAAGGATATATGACTACTTAATCTGCTAGCAAAACTGTTCAACTTTCCCATGTTAAATACCTGTTACTTTACTATATCTGCCTTGATGGTGTTTGTAGGTGTTGTGCTATTCTTTTGTTGAGGTATGTATAGACTGACCATGAGATCTAAAGCTGTCACTCCGAGAAGCTGGAGGGAACACCGCAGAATATGCACTCGACACAGGGTGCCGCTCCGCTGGCCTGCATGGCCTGCTGGCCCTGGTCCCTCCAGGTCCACTCTGGCCATTTGCTGAGCTCTGGCCAAATGCCCTTCCCTCCTGCGTTTCCAGCCCCTGCGGTCACTCTGGTCTTGCAGCATCGGCGACTGCTGCTTCTGCGGAATGCCCAGTCCCAGGCCTGGCCTAGCCTGCTCCTTCTGATCGCTCTGGTGTCTCCCCGCTCACACCTGAAAGGAGGCTTTCCCCAGCCACCATACTCCGGCGAGTCACCCTGGACCGCCTCCCCTCAGCTGACTGCCTCGGCGGAACTTCAGTGGTCTGGACTGACCTCATCTCTGTCCTTGCTAATGGCCCTCCCTACTGGAAGATGGGCTCTGCAGGGCAGGAGAGATGTGTCTAGTTCACCACGATGGTCTCCTGCCTAGGACAACGCCTGGCACACAGGAGGCTCTGCACTGATACTTGTGGAATGATGACGGTAACCCACTGCTGGGTACTGTTACCTAAAAGATCATCAGACCTATCTACAGACTACCCACAGTTAGAAGAAAAGACACTTTGATTCATCTTGTAAGATCTCTTTTTTTTGAGTCGGAGTCTCGCTCTGTTGCCCAGGCTGGAAGGCAGTGGCACGCACGCTCAAGGTCACCCGACCTGCTGGGCTCCGGCGATGCTTGCGCCTCAGCCTTCCAGGTAGCTGGAACTACAGGTGCGTGCTGCCACGCCTGGCTAATTTTTTGATTTATTGTAGAGATGAGGTCTCACCAAGTTGCCTAGCCTGTTCTTGAACCCGTGGTCTCAGGCAATCCCCTCACCTTGGCCTCCCAAAGTGCTGGGATGACTGGCTTGAGCCACCAGACCTGGCACATCTTGTAAGATCTTAAAAGCAGAATCCAACTGGAAAAAAGTTATACAATCTGAGACTTTTAAGACAAAGCCCAGAGCCTTGAACACTTGATGACAGCTATATAAGTTTCCTGCTTATATAACATAACAAAAGACATAAGTATGCTTTGAAGTATGTCAAGTGTCTCACAGATTTACTGACTTTACACAAACAACCCTACCTCAACTTTTCTACCACAGAGCTTTTCTAGCATTTCAAGTGAGAGATTGACAGAGGATTTCATTGGGTGTGTGTGTTTCCAACAATGGTCCTTTCAGTCATTCACTAGCCAACCTCATGGACGCTTGTTTCAAAGACATAATGACCCTTGCTCTGCAGGGAATAGCATTATAATAACTCTTAATATACTAACTCACCCAAAAAGGGAGCTGTCACTAGTTAGATGCTCTGAGTGTCTAGGTAGCTTTTCCTTCTAACATAGCATAGCAGCAGTCACATTCAAGGATTTAAGGGCACTATAAAAATGCCAAAAAAAATTTTTTTTTAGTTGGAGTCTCGCTCCGTCGCCCAGGCTGGAGTGCAATGGTATGCTCATGGCCACCTCAGCGTCGACCTGCTGGGCTCCAGTGATCCTTCCACCTCAGCCTTCCAAGTAGTCAGGACTATAGGTGCACCATGCCCAGCTAATTTTGATTTAGACATGAGGTCTCGCCAAGTTGCCCAGGCTGGTCTCGAACCCGTGGGCTCAGGCAATCCACTCACCTCGGCCTCCCAAAGTGCTGGGATGACAGGCTAAGCCACCAAGCCTGGCCAGCCAAGAATTTTTAATAGCCAATTATTAGCACCTTACAGATGATCAACACCTAACTCCCTTGTCACACACCACATTCTTACAACAGAAAGTCTCATTTCTGTCGTAAAAACGGCACGACTTTTTATAGTGAACTGGCAACCACCCAATTCTATCTGCTGTGGGTCAAGCTTCTTCAACGGAAATGGTCTGTCACCAACAGCTTACCAAGTATTCCTCTGTGCCGTACAGAGACACAAACTGCTCGTCATCCTCCAGCTCTCTGGCCGCTCCGAAATCTGTGAGCTTGTACACTGACTGCCCATCCTCCCCGATGACACGCATGATGTTGCCGGGTTTGATGTCACGGTGCACGATGCCATTCTCCCGCAGGTGGTTCATGCCGCCCACTTCAACAGCAAGCAAGAGGAACATCAGGAGGCAGCAGCGCATGAGGACCAGCCAAAACCCAACACCAAGACGCAGTCACGCAAACCGTATGACCTTTCCACAGCCTGTTAGCTTATAGCTCACATGTTGCTTATAAGGAAGGAGCTTTGGAATGACACGAATCAGTATGGTCCAAGGAGAGTCCAGTCTCCCTCAAAACCTGACCACGAAAATGTATCAAAATGGTCTTAAACATAGGATTTCTTGATTACTTTAGGTTGTAAACGTGTGGGCAATTTGTTTTTGCTTTTAGTTGGAGTCTCACTCCGTCGCCCAGGCTGGAGTGCAGTGGCATGCTCACGGCCACCCCAGTGTTGAACTCCTGGGATCCTTCCGCCTCAGCCTTCCAAGCAGCCGAAACTACAGGTGTGTGCTACCACACCCAGCTAATTTTTGATGTATTGTAGAGACGAGGGACGAGGTCTCACCATGTGGCGCGGGTGGGTCTCGAACCCGTGGGCTCAGGCAATCCACTTGCCTCGGCCTCCCAAATTGCTGGGATGTTAGGCTGAGCCGAGCCTGGCCCAATTTGTTTAATCCTATGAATATTACAGATTCCCAAGAAAGATACCAGTCTTTTATCACAGTTTTACATTTCTTTCCTTTGGGGAAAAAACCATAAGAGTAACTCGACTCCATATGTAAAACAGTAAAAAAGTAACCAAAAGAGGGTGAAGTGTCAGAATTATGTCAGAATACGTAAAAATGTATTTCTCATGTACATAGCACTATTCAAAAAGCTCATTTTCTTCTCTTTCTTTGGGGCAAAGTTGGCTACACTACTGCAATTATGCTGCTTTGACTAACAGGCAGTGTCTCCAAGTGCAAACTGCAAACGTGTGTTTGATGCTGCTACATGAATGTCCACATTGAAAACACAAAAAATCTAGGGGTATCAATGTATAATTTATTAAAACCCTGGTCTACCAACATCCCCTGGAAGGCATCGGCTATCTGAAACTTCTATCTGATTAAACAGGCGGGAGCACATGGTTAGTCCTGTTTCTCTCTCCTTCCTTCCTCACCTAAATACTCCCCACTCTGCTTTCAGGTCAAGTTCAAGTTTCCCACTCACCTTCTTCAACATTCCTTACATATTTGACTCAGTCTTCCTAAGAAGATCCTTCATTTATTACAATATTACTTTTAATAAAAACAGTTACTGAGATATAATTCACTCATCCTAACACTCTTTTTCAAGTGTACAACTCAGTAATTTCTCAATGACCAGAGCTTACAACCACCACCACCAGTCTCAGAACTTTTTGTCACACCTCATAGAAGTTCCAGACCCATGCGCAGCCACCCCAGCCCTGTCTTCTCCTAGGCTCCTGACAACCACTCAATGACTTGCTGTCTCTATGATCTGCCTTCTGGGACACTTCACATAAAACTGTGATGATGTGATTTGCGTATGGCTTCTTTCACTTAGCACGTTTTCAGGGTTCATCCCCATTGTGGCACACAGCACTCCCTCATATTTTTTTTTTTTTTTTTTTG